AGTTGTTTATTGAGCGTGGCTAGCTCCGCTAGCTCCGTTGGCTTCTCTACACAGACGAGTGATAGTGATAGGCGCTGATAGCTTGTACTTGCGGAGTAATGGCAGTATTTTACACACCTGAATTACAAACAGAGGTTGCATTGGGGCTTCGGTCATTATTGGTTTGAGAGTTCTGTTATCAAGAAAAAATTCGGAAGAATTGCTGCTGCTGCTTTGAGGAGCTCTATAACAAATTATAATTCAATATTAGAATATATTCTAAGGTTTTAAATTAATACATTCGGACGCAAAACTAGCGGTATTCTTTTACTTATATATTGTGTTGGCAGTGCGTTGCTTTAGTGCCATTTCATCGGTGATTGTTGCACAGCTTACAAGAAGTTGCGCTAATGCTAATGTTAGCATATGTATCAGATCGCAAATAAAACTAGGTGGCTCCGTGTTATGAGAGCGTAGGGGAAATAAGAAGCCATTGAGCGAGTTGGGGGGCGGTGCTAAACATTCAAACATTGCAGAAACGGGTATAGCGCCTTTAATCTTTCTCATTGTTGAAAAAAATTGACTCATTCAAACACTAAAAAGCGTACGCTGCATTAAAAATAGTTTTTTCCCATAATAGTGATAATAAGTCGCAAAAAGCTCCTATGTCTGCGTTTTACAGCATTGCCCATTCTATTTAATAGGAGAAAAATACTTCCTGTCCTACGGACCCATGCCCCGCCCCCTTTGGTCACTCTGTTACAACCCAGCAATACTGCTTGGTTAAGTTAAAGTTTTACGATGTTCTCTATAATTGCAGTTTTGCACAATACATTTAAATAAGTCACAATCTTGACTATTTCATGCAAGAACCTGCTAGACCTATATTGGAATTCACACCAAATTATACCGCAATATATACCGTCTATTAGGGATGTAAAAAACTATGAATTTTCATGACCGACCACCGAGCCTCATTAACCGGTTGAAACCGGTTAACCGCGTAGTTTAAAATAGTCCACGTTCTTTGAAATAACAGCCATTTCGAGCCGCGTACTTTTCATAAGTGCAGCTCTGCGTTCTATTGGATCAGAGCCGAGACAGCGGCGCCAAAACCCGCAACAGCTCCGGCACCTTTGCGCACAGAGAACTGCTTTTTTAATCTTCCCATTCTGCTGTGCTGCGGGTTAATACCAAAACTTTCTAGCAGCAAACGACGGCTCGTTCACATGGTCAGAGCAGCGAGTGACGAGCCGCGTCTCACAGGTCTTCACAAAAGCGTGACACAGAGGAGCCTGCCTGCCTGCCTGCCTGCCTGCCTGCCTGCCTGCCTGCCTGCCTGCCTGCCTGCCTGCCTGCCTGCCTGCCTGCCTGCCTGCTGCTGCCTGCCTGCCTGCCTGCCTGCCTGCCTGCCTGCCTGCCTGCCTGCCTGCCTGCCTGCCTGCCTGCCTGCCTGCCTGCCTGCCTGCCTGCCTGCCTGCCTGCCTGCCTGCCTGCTGCCTGCCCTGCCTGCCTGCCTGCCTGCCTGCCTGCCTGCCTGCCTGCCTGCCTGCCTGCCTGTGCCTGCCTGCCTGCCTGCCTGCCTGCCTGCCTGCCTGCCTGCCTGCCTGCCTGCCTGCCTGCCTGCCTGCCTGCCTGCCTGCCTGCCTTGCCTGCCTGCCTGCCTGCCTGCCTGCCTGCCTGCCTGCCTGCCTGCCTGCCTGCCTGCCTGCCTGCCTGCCTGCCTGCCTGCCTGCCTGCCTGCCTGCCTGCCTGCCTGCCTGCCTGCCTGCCTGCCTGCCTGCCTGCCTGCCTGCCTGCCTGCCTGCCTGCCTGCCTGCCTGCCTGCCTGCCTGCCTGCCTGCCTGCCTGCCTGCCTGCCTGCCTGCCTGCCTGCCTGCCTGCCTGCCTGCCTGCCTGCCTGCCTGCCTGCCTGCCTGCCTGCCTGCCTGCCTGCCTGCCTGCCTGCCTGCCTGCCTGCCTGCCTGCCTGCCTGCCTGCCTGCCTGCCTGCCTGCCTGCCTGCCTGCCTGCCTGCCTGCCTGCCTGCCTGCCTGCCTGCCTGCCTGCCTGCCTGCCTGCCTGCCTGCCTGCCTGTCTAGTTTATAATACGCACACAGCTATTACAGACCCGCTCGTCACACCGTGCAAATAGGGCTTAAAATAGCGTTATTAAGAGACCTCCCCTCTCCTCTTTTTCTCTTTTTTAACCGACAGCTTTGACCGGTTAACGCTGTGACGGTCAACCACCGGTTAAACGGTCGCCGATTTACATCCCTACCGTCTTTCGTCTGTGTCCCAAATTATACCGCAATATGAATTTTAGGCCATATCGCCCACCCCTAGATACAACTGACTTTCCAATCTCTCCAATTCAATGCATTCAAGATAGGTATAACAATTAAAGACGCTTCCATGAGCATCCACCGCCAGCATGCGTGAAGTGTCATTCAACCAGGGATGTTTATACCTCTTGGGCTGCAGTGAGTGGCGTACCTTCTGGATCTGCACTGCAGCCTCCTGGACATCACAATCTGCATTTACAAGATACTACAGGGTTAATGTGGCAGTCCTCAACCTGCTGAAGGGGGCGCTGAGGCACCCTTCAACATCGTGAGGTTTGAGTTTGTACTGTGTGTCCCTCAGGTTTGACCCCTGAGAACCTTATTGGTGTCATTTGGCGCCTAATGTACCGCCTCTGGAGAGTACTTAACTTTCCCTTCATCTGGACCTGATCTCAAGAGACATATGTACTTTGGACTTTGTAAATTGTAAATTGTTGGTTTTGAATTTTACTTTTGTTTTTAATAAATCTGTGATCCCATCAAGACTTTGTTTCATTCATTTGTCTGTAACGTGCATAAAAGGGATTCAAAAGTTACAATTTCCTACCACATACTTTTACTTCTATTTACATTATACACATTATATTTGTCAGTAAATCCGTACAACTGTGGTAAATTTATGAACGAGGATGGAGACATATTTGCTAAATACAAAAAGTTTTTATTTTTGATTAAAATGCAAAATAAATGTTTAGGCATATGATTTTTATCATATTTCTTATTTACTTCTCACTCCTTTTTTGAGTTGATACTTAGATTTACAATATACATGTATTTTAAATAACTAAGTTATGCATTGAACTCGAAATACAACAAAAAAAAGATTTCAAATGACAAAAAGTGACGCATCAGAACAATGTTACCAGTTACACGTTGCGCGTAAAATTACGTGGTTTAACAACCCCTCCCGAGCTGAGGAGAAACTTGGAGGTACCATTTTTAATGGAAAAGCACCCAAGCTCAGCCGTGCCGTGCCGTACTGTGCCGTACCATGACTATGGAAAAGCGGTATTACAACGCTGACTAAGGCTCAATGAATGCTGGATGACTGCCGGAGTGTCCCAAACCTTGGGCTCTGGGCCCACTTGCGAGGCTAAAAGGGACTGAGCTCTCTTGTCACGCAACTCTATAGGCCAAAATTCATAGAACCGTCATAACTTTTGTATTACATCCAAAATAAAGCATTTTCAAAGAAGTGAATCAGTATTGGTTCAGTTAAAGGTGGCCTACAACTTTTAAAACATTTCTAACAGGAAATTGATTTTTTCTCCCGGAAAGCAATACTGTATGTAAAAATATGGCCAAAAGTGGTACTGCAATCAGAGTCAATATTCTGTAGTCCTCTCCTACTCTCCCTGACTCGGGTTGCCAGATATGCAGACGTATCCGGCTAAGACCATAATATCTAATAAAGACAAGAGTTTTGTCAACAACCAATACCTTTTTCACAAAGGCTCCGATAGAGATCCTTGTTTTATTCCTTGTTTTGACATTAATTATTTTAAAATCATAACGAGACCTTTTTTAGTAATGCGGCCTGACATGTTACTTTACCAGTGAGATTTGCTTGACGTGGTGAGTTCTGGCAACCCGGATCACAGACTTTCTGATTGGTAAAATGGTAAAAACTGACTTGGAACCATGGTTCAACATTATTCCCCATCAAAAACATTTACGCATCTATACAACATCCATGCTTGTTTCAATAATCTTCTGCCTAACCTCTTCTCACCCCAAGTGATTGCGCTCTTTGACCAGTTTTCAGCATTCGGATGTTCTGTCTCGACATTATATCAGGTTCAGTACAAAACCATTACGATGTAGCATACAAAAGACCTGCAAACTCAACCACAGAAATAAAAGGTGACAGTTTAATCGCCAATGCTCCAAGCTTTAACAAACGTCTTCCGTGTTCAAAATTCTATTCTTTTTTTGCACATTTGAAAAAAAAATGAAAGTAATTTTCTTCTTTTAATTTTAAAATAATTCACGGTCCTGCATTTTATAGCATTTCGCGTCACACGGATGTACACACCGGCAGAGCGCGAACGGATGCAGCTGCTGATGCTCTCCCTGTGTAGTCCATGAAGAAGTGTAGAGGACAATACAGGACAGAGAACTGATGTAGAGCAGTTAAATTCACATGTTTGCGTTGGCCCTCGTCGTCTCTGTGGGCTGCTGTGGTCGGACGTGAGACTTTATGAAAAAAAAATATCCATGTGTCCAAAATTACTGTCAAACCTGCCAGCCCTCCTCCTAATGTTGTGTTGTGGGCATGTGGAGCAAAAACATGTTTCCCATGTGTTCATGAGTTTTGACTGGGAGCTGAGTCAATGCGCGAGCAAAAATGCGCAAAGCTCCTATTTTGGGCTGACAAGCGTGACTCTGTCCTGCGCCGCCACTGCGCGAGTCTCTCAGCAGGTGCCACCACAGGGACCCACCGGAGAAGATACCCAAACATGATCATGACCTTGATTTTGCCATTTTTACCTTTTCTTTTCACATTATCCACTTCCTGACTCACTGAAAAAAAAATATTTGATTGATCGTCCAGCCCAAATTGTAGTGTTGATATAAAAAGGTTTCATATTATACAAATGGGGGGGCCATTTGACAAGTTGTGCTGTAAGAACTTTTCTTTGAAAGTTATTTTCTCCCAAACCCTATAACTGAACAAAGTGAAAAATACAACACTCACCTGTTGACATTGGAGGAGGCGTGACGGCGACGGTCTCTTTCTTAAGAACAGGAACAGGAGCAACGGGAGCTCCAGGAGTTTGAGGAGGAGGTGCGACAGCTTCGACTGAAGGAGGAGCTGTAACTGGCTCAACAGCAGGCAACAGGGGTAAAGGGTCCGCAGAAGAAAGCTCAGGCTCTGTGACAGGAGCCGGGCTTAGCTCAGACTTTGCAGGCAGAGGCGAAACCACCGACTTGAGTATAGAGGCAGGAGGGGTGGGTTCAGGTGTAAGAGGGGCGGGAACAGGAGGAGGTTCCAAAGCAACGATAGGAGTAGGTTCCACAGGAGCAATATGAGGATGCTCCAGAGCAGCATTAGGAGGAGTGAGTGGAGGAGGACGAATGATTTTAGGCTCGGAAACAGGAGCGGTATCAGCTTTAGCAGAGGCCGGAGTCGTTATCGGAAGCACCACATCTATAAAAGTTGGCGCTGTGACCTGTTGAGGTGGAGGAGTGGCCTCAATGGACGGTCTGGGTGGAGTCAAAGCAGCAGCAAGCTCAGCAGGTTCCACATTAGGAGGAGGGGGTGGTGGAACATCAGCCTTTGGGGGAGGGGGTAAAGAAGTAACGGGATCAAAGGGAGGAGGTAATGGATAGAGAAGGGGTGGGGGGAGGACAGGCACTGGGGCTAGGGCTGGAGTTGTGGCTGGAGTTGGGACTGGGGTTGGGGTTGGGGCTGGGGTGGGTGCAGAGGCTTGAGTTGGTGGAGAAGGCGGAACAGGTTCTCGCATCCGGTTGATGACGCTCTCAGAAAGCTGGGAAAATTCAAAGAAAGGGGATGAGCTCCTCACACACCGTTTTACAAGGGTACTTTCACTTGAGGAAATGCTTTACAGATCCATTTCTAAAAATGTAACCTGGCAAGTGGACACATGTTCTCTTTTGTATGGTGGTTCTGTTTCCCCATTCGTGACCGCCAGATTCAGATCAGATTCATTTATTTGCCATTTGCAGTGAAACCACATAGGAAAAACTGTGCAAGACTACTCCGGTGTGCACCAGACAGAGAAGACGACACACACCAGAGCTCTTGCCACGGCACCATCTTTACGGCGCCATGCGACAAACAGTAGAATAAACAGCAGAGAGCAATAACATACATATCACAAGACAGTTTGGATAAGACACCGTATGTTTTGGATAAAACACGGACGTTTTTATTATGGAAATAAACTCAAACAACCCTTTGCCAATGTGGGCTGTCAGAAGGGGCTGGGTGAGGGGGGGATGAGCAGGAAAGACTTGGAGGGAGTGAGGAGGGAGGGAGAAGGGAGTGGGGGGGGGCAGTCCAGAGCTGGGTAGCTGTGAAAGTGTGAGGCTTGTTGTAGTTGAGAGAGGACCGATATCAGTCAACTTCGGCCCTGGCCGAATGGAATGGAATGTGGAAATTAGGAGAGGCGGTGCTTTAAGCACTGAATGATCATCTTTGAGCATGCACAGTTAGAAAATTAAATTACGACACTGTCACACCTCAGAGACCCACGTGAGTCTATGTAGTCACGTGACACAAGAGCTCAATCCCTTTTCCTTCACCTTCGCGGTGCAGGTTACAAGTTGGAGTATTTTTATTGAGCTACTTCCTACAACTTTGAGGCAGTGGTAACGTAAGTTCATTTCCATGGGAGCTGTGCAGGCCCCATTGATTGTTTCGCTGGTGGAGGCCCTGAAGTCTAATCCGAGGTGCCCGACCCTCCAGTGTCGTCTCACAGATGAGCTGTTGTGTAGGGCATACAACAGTGGCGCACGAATCAGCAGTTTAGGGAACGCTCTTTCCCATCTTTTACTGGGCCTTTCTACCACATTCGAAATATTGACAGTGTGTGAATGGTTTTACTATGTGGGTAATAACAGGAATGTCTCACTGTTCCTGAAGGGTGCTTGAAAATTGGTGAAATTTAGTGAACATGCGTTTCTCCACGCACGCCAATTCTTCAGTGGTGGGAACGCATCCTAAGAAGAGGCAGGATCACAGCGCTAACCTCTCCTATGAGCATCAACCGCCAACATGCGTGAAGTGTCATTCAACCAGAGGTGTACTTCTTCGGCTGCAGTGAGTGGAGTACCTTCTGGATCTGCACTGCAGCCTCCTGGACATCACAATCTGCATTTACAAGATACTACAGGGTGAATGTGGCAGTCCTCAACCTGCTGAAGGGGGGGCTGAGGCACCCTTCAACATCGTGAGGTTGGAGTTTGTACTGTGTGTCCTTCAGGTTTGACCCCTGAGAACCTTGTTGGTATGTGTAATCCGGCGCCTAATGTACCGTCTCTGGCGAGCAGTAAGAATGAACGACTAGAACTGTGGACTATAAGTAAGGCTCAATGAATGCTAGATGACCGCCAGAGTGTCCCACACCTTGGGCTCTGGGCCTACTTGCAAGGCTAAAAGGGACTGAGCTCTTGTGTCACGCAACTCTATAGACCAAAATTCATAGAACTATAGTTTAGTCATAACTTTTGTATTACATCCAAAATAAAGCATTTTCAAAGAAGTGAATCAGTATTGGTTCAGTTAAAGTGTGAAAGTGCCATAATAGACTCAATGACGCAAGTTTGACAATTAGGTACATTGAATTAGTGTTGTAAAGATTTTTTTAAATATAGTCTTAAAATTACAAAAGGGGCTCAAACTATTTTGTCTTATTTGTCAGTTATTGATCACTAGGGCGATCAGGTCTAGTCACTTATAAAAGACGAATAAGAGGATATTTACCTTGTCTTGTATTCAAATATAATAATATTTAAATACATAAACACTTGAAAAAAAAAAAAAAGCTAAAGCCAAATTTGTTTAAAGTTGACATTTTTTGCATCAGTTCTTTTCCTAGTGGCTATGTCAACACAACTTTCACTCAGGTGACCTACAACTTTTAAAACATTCCTAACAGGACATTGGAAATAATAGATTGTTTCTCTCAGAAATTGGTACATTCTTTGCAACATAGGCAGGACGAATAAATTATATATCTATTTTGATTCTTTTTGACTTCAGTTATTGTTTGAGGACGAGAATTTCAGAGTATGAATGAACGTAAAGTTAGGGGAATGAATGAAAAGTGTAGTACTAGCTAAAGCATTTCCATGTAAACACAGAGCAAGACACGTGGAAATGTGTAACTCTACGCGCTGAAACTAAACATGTTGACAGCAATATTCTGAATTTAAAGTATGTAAGTGTGCCAAATAGTTCAACTTACCCGTATGCCCTTCACCACTGTTATGTTGTCATTCTGATCAGACTCAAAAGAAACTCGACGGGTGCTGTTATTGGCTCCCATTCTCACAGACGCTCATCTACATACACAGTGGAAACGCTGCATACACTGCGGTTTAATTCCGTTTATTATCTCCAAATTCAAGGGGAAACTGGATCCACACTCAGCTCACACACTTTTCCACTTCCTGAATGTCAGAAGCCGCTGGAAGAACGGAGACGAGGATTGGGCACAGGCGAGGCAATGACAAAGAAGGACGCGTGTGATTGGCCCATGGGTCTAAGAAGGGGAGGGTGCAAAAGCCATGCCGGAGTGTTTCCACTACCGTCAATGGTTCCACCGCTCCTGTCACTTCTGTCACTCATACCGGTGCTGGTAACAGGTATGGATCGATGTATTATATTATCGATGACGGGCTAGGAAGAGACCATTGGACACGCTAATATGCAGATACACAATCATATGATAAAAACTATTTATGTGAAAAACCTTGTTTAATGATAGGACAGGACACAAGCAGACCAACTTTTTAAAAAAGGCACACATTTGAAATAAAGACTATCTAAATATCTAACGCTATACAAATGAAAATCATGGAAAAAATGTATTTAGTTATAGAGTTATGCATATTTGTTGGCATTATGCAAAGCATTCATTTTACAAGAAGCATTCTGGGAGATTCCCGCTTCTCCTACAGTCCTACTTACAGGTTTACACACACAGCACATACATTTTGCTAATTCTTCCCAACATTTCTCAAACTCAGATTATTTATACATTTGATACGTCTGAGCTAGAATGGGCAATTCTTATGGGGTATTCACACTGGACCTTCATCAATCACTGCAAAGACAATGATTGGTGCAAATATTGTGTGTTGCAACAACCATTTTTTTCCAGCACAACAGACGCGTTTTTGCGGCGTACCAGGGGTAGCGGGTACGGCAACATATGTAAGTAAGTTAGTAAGTAAGTAAGTTTTTATTTATATACCGCCTTTTCACTGCAGATCTGAGTCTCAAAGCGGTTTACAATTGTTAATTTTTTGGGCATTTGTCTCTCACTCCACACAGAGATGGGAGCGGGGTCGCCAGTACAGGAGGCGCATGCCAGAACTATTGGACATATTTTTAGTGGTAGGGGAAACCGGAGTACCCGGAGGAAACCTACGCAGACACGGGGAGAACATGCAAACTCCACTCAGAAAGGCCCTGGTCCGACCGGGATTCGAACCCAGGACCTTCTTGCTGAGAGGCGAGAGTGCTATCCACTCAGCCACCGTGCCGCCCATATGCAGAAAATGCAGGTGAACTTGGTAGCAGCATATTGGTCACAAGGACACAAGCTGGTCAATGCAGGAAGACTAAAAGAGCCAAAACTACAGTAGCGCCTACCCAGGACTGACATTGGGGGACGCAGTGCTTGTTGACATATATCTTCAGTTCTCAATTTACTGTGACTGGATACAAGTGCTGCTAACATGATCGGAAGTACTGGTTAATAGGGGTGGGAACCTCAGGGTATCTCATGATATGATACTATATATATATATATGATATGAATCTGTCAAAAGGCATTAATTTTTTCTAAACAATACAAGAGGGATCAAGATGGCGCCAGCGTGTGTGGCCGGTCGCCTATCGACTCTATTCATTTTAATACATGTCATCTTATTATTATGTTTTCACCGAAAATATGTCTCTGCTCTATTGGTGTATGATCGACAAACTCTTCTTGATATTCAAACTGCACAAAGTTGGACGGCTAAATGTGATTCCGAACAAACAACGTGGAGTCTACCCCCGCACCTGTCCAGTGTCCCATCGTACCTTTGGCGTGTGCCAGTCCCAATGCAGAAAAAGCGTCCCAGAAGGCGCGGTAGACGTGCTGGTCTTTTGGTCAAATTGAGATTGTCCAAAGCATACAGCTCTTCAACTTACTTCACCCGCGGAGGCTCCACTCACAGACTCTTCCCAGGTCTGCGCTGGATTCTACCCATCTTCCCTGCTCCAGAGGCCGCGCAGATGCGCTCGTGCCACCTGCCACTGGAGACGCTCGTCCTGAGGAGACGCAGAGGCGACCAACGCAGAGTGGATCTCGGTGCACTCCGGCCTCTCGCCCGCTCCTCCTCGCTTCACCACGAGGACGTAACTATTTGCTTGGGCCTCATGAATGTTAGATCGCTAACAAATAAGACTTTTCTTCTCAACGACCTGATCGCGACACGGGATTTGGATATTACTTTATTCACGGAGACATGGGTCCAAGCTGGTGAGTCCACGGCGTTTTCCGAACTCCTTCCACCAGGCTACTCATTCATTAGCTCCCCGCGTACTAGTGGTAGGGGAGGTGGGCTTGCCACAGTGTTTAAAGACTCGTTTCCATGCAAGCAAATTCCATCTGAAAGCTTTTCAAGCTTTGAATTACAAACATTTATGCTTGAACGCGCTCCTGTCATCTGTGCCTTAATGTATCGTCCTCCTAAAATTCATAAGGATTTTATTCAGGAATTCACAGACTTTGTTACAGGGCTCGTGCTGAAATATGACTGTTTTATTATTGCTGGTGACTTTAATATCCATGTGTGCTGCGAGTCTAAACCATTAGTCAAGGACTTTTTAAATGTTTTAGAAACGTTTAACTTGGCACAGCTGGTCCCTGGCCCAACACATGAAAAGGGACATACGCTCGATCTTGTGCTGTCTTTTGGTCTGAATCTGGAGATTATTGATATCTGTGACACGGGTATCTCAGATCACTACGCCGTGCTCTTTACTCTGACGCTTCCAAAATCTAACATTAAGCCGTGTGCCCCTGCGCGCAAAGTGCGCACATGCAACTCGCAAACTGCACTCACATTTTCGTTGGCTTTCTCTGACTTTATACTGAACAACGACTGCGGCAGTGATTTAGCTGTGGAAGACATGGTCTCTTTATTCAACGCTACATGCTCAAGCATTATTGATCTCGTAGCCCCATCCAGAGTCAAATGCGTAAAGCCTAAAGCTGAGCCCCGGCTTAATGACACAACACGGGCTCTGAGGCGCATCTGCAGACGTGCGGAGAGACGCTGGCAAAAGGACCGTCTGCAGGTGTCACTGGACATGCTGAAAGACAGTCTACAGTCATATCAGAGAGCAGTTAAAACTGCCAAGTCTAAATTTTTGTCCAACGTTGTTACTATCAATTGCCACAAACCCCAGGTTCTTTTTAATACACTGACCTCTTTGATTAATCCATGCACTTCTCCCCCTGTAGTGGCCTCTTACAAACTATGCAATGATTTTATTGTATTTTTTAATGACAAAATTGCCTCCATTAGGCAGTCTCCGTTGTGTAAGCCCAGTTTTATGAATATAGATAATGGCTGTAAAATGTATTTGAGTGTTTTGAAAATGTGTCCTTAGCATTTGTGACAGACATTGTAAAAAAGCTACGCCCGTCTTGTTGTCCCCTTGACTCCATCCCATCTCGTCTGTTTAAGGAGGTGTTCAACACAGTGGGGATTTGGGTCCTTAACATAATTAATGCATCTTTAAATTCAGGATGTGTACCTATCACACTTAAACATGCCGTGGTACAACCTCTTCTTAAAAAGCACAATCTTGACCCTACATGCTTGTCGAATTATAGGCCCATCTCAAAGTTGCCTTTTATTTCTAAGATCTTGGAAAAGGTTGTTCTCGTTCAACTACAGGACCATCTTGATATTTACAGCATCACTGAGAAGTTTCAGTCAGGTTTCAAAGCCAAGCATAGTACTGAGACTGCTCTTCTTAGAGTTCTTAATGATCTTTATTCAGTCTCAGACTCAGGCCGCCCTTCTGCTCTAGTTCTCCTAGATTTATCGTCAGCGTTCGATACGGTGGACCATGATATTCTTATTGCACGCCTCGAGCAACAAGTGGGCATCACAGGAACTGCACTTAAATGGTTCCAGTCCTATCTGACTGAGAGAACCTTTTCTGTTCAATTTGGCCAGTTCTCCTCTCAAGCGTCCAATTTAAAGTGTGGAGTGCCCCAAAGCAGTATTTTGGGCCCTACCCTATTTTGTCTTTACATGCTTCCCTTAGGAGCTATATTTGAGAAGCATAATATTTCCTACCACTGCTATGCTGATGATGTCCAAATATATCTGCCCATTCAGACTAGCAGCTGTGTACAGACACTTGTTGATTGTTTGAAGGAAGTTCAGGAATGGATGCAAGATAACTTCCTTAGTTTAAACAACAGGAAAACAGAAATACTTACCTTTGGGACTTCTGACCCTCTGCTGAACTGTGACAGTGCTATAGGACCTCTTATGGTTTATGAAAAGCCCCACGCCAGGAATCTAGGATTTATTATTGACAGCCATTTTAAATTTGATAAGCAGATAAATGCTGTTCTTAAAACAAGTTTTTATTATCTCAGAGTTCTTAGCAAAGTAAAATCTTATATTCCACATGCCCATTTTGAGAAGGCCATTCATGCTTTTATCACTTCCAGGCTTGATTATTGTAACTCTCTCTATGTCGGCATTGACCAGGCCCAGCTCAGCCGCTTACAGGGAGTGCAAAATGCAGCAGCCCGTCTTTTAACAGGGACAAAGCGCAGGGAGCACATCACTCCTGTTTTGCAATCCCTGCACTGGCTCCCGGTATATTTTAGAATTCATTTTAAAATTCTTATTATCGTTTTTAAAAGTTTTAATAGAATGGCACCTTCTTATTTATATGAACTCCTCCAGCCTCACCTTCCCTCCAGAGCACTGCGCTCTGCAGATCAGCACCTTCTTGTCGTCCCTAGGACCAGGCTGAAGACCAGAGGAGACAGAGCTTTCTCTGTTATAGGGCCAAAGTTGTGGAACTTTTTACCTTTGCACATCAGAACTGCACAATCACTCGAGCACTTTAAATCCCTGCTTAAAACGCATCTTTTTTCTTTGGCTTTTACTACCAAGTAGACAGAGACAAATTTTTCGATTTCTTTTTGTATATACATTTCTGTATTTTATGTGTTTTTATTTTATAATTTTTCCTCGCTGTCTGTTCAGCACTTTGGTAAGCCTAGGCTGTTTTAAA